TTGCCATTATTTTCTTACTCTAGCAGGGAGAGAGCAGGGGGTTTTTTTTTGGCTTTTAATTTTAATGAAACAGAGAGGAGGGAGAACCGGGCGAGAAGGATTTGCTTATAGCCAGACGTTTGCGGGTGCGGGTGCGGGTGCCCGTGAGGGTGAGGGTGCGCGTGCGGGTGCGGGTGTGAAAGCGTGAAAGGTAGGTAACCGTTCGGACCTTCCAATGCTTCAAATTCAAGCAGTTCTGGTCTGAGCTTACCACCACCTTAATTACTCTTATACCCCTTCAAGAAAAAGAAAAAAACCCCTCAATTTAGTCCTTTAATATATTACCTCATGAGTTTCAAGCATTTTGATTATATTAATTTTGCCTAATTAATATAAATTTTATTTTCATTAAATATTCATGATCACAATTAAAAAAAATACATGTTAGGTTTATATATAGTAATTAAAGAAATCATTACTAATATTGCCATAAAAAGCTATAATTTTATTTGAAAATAAAAGGCAAAATTGAATGACATTTAATAAAATATAATTTTAATCATTGTATTTAACCTCACCTAATAGAAAGCAACCTAGGTGTGTGGGGCCTAACAACCCCCTAATATGATGAATAATATGTTGCAAACTATTTTTAAATAAAATGGATAACACGTTATATTCTAATAAAGATTTCAATTCCCAGTTTTAGATTTGAAAATTTGAAAATTTATTTTTAACTTTTCTTAATAAAATAAAAGTTTCAAAACACTTGAATGATATTTTTTTTGATAAAAAAAACCTAATGACAAAAAAATTTTTTTTTCTTTCTTTTTGTTGCATGGATATGGTTAACTAGAAATGTTTTTTTCCTCAAACTCATAAGCTGATATATATATATATATATATATAAAGTAAATTTGGAAGATCTAAACATAAAATTTTAAAATTAAAAGGAATAAAATTGCAAAATTCATGTTTTTTTTCTTTGTTTTTATTTTTTTATTTTCTTTAATTGTTTTTTATTACAAATGTAAATTTTATTACATTACCTCTAATTATATTTTGAAATTAGATCAAATACATTGAATTTTAAAAATTATATACAAAGAAGAAATCTTGAAACATAAAATGTCATGTTATATCACAAACATGACATGAAATGATAAAATTATAAAAAATAAAGTTTAATGATCAAAACTTTTTTAAAAAAATTGTTCAATGCACAATGAACTATCACGAAATTTTATTTGTGTATAGTAAAATCATATCAATTATTTAATGTAGTTTTTTTTAGGAAAAAAACATGTGTAAGTAGGGGGGGGAATATAATTCATGATCCATAAACAATAACAAAATATCTCCACCCAATATTTTACTTTTTTTATTTATATTTATCAATTTTTATAGAATAAATACTAATTACAGCTTAATTAACATAAAATATCTTTGAATCATCATTGTCTTTCCAACTTTTGCAATCAAATCAATTCTCTCTCTCTCTCTCTCTCTCTCTCAAATACTCTTCTATTCATCTCATATTCAATATCATCTCCTAAATTTTGCAATCAAATCAATTTTTTATTGAAAAAATAAATTCTTCTTCTTCTTTTTGCTTCTCAAGAATTCTAGAACAATATTGTATAAATTGATTTTTTTATCAAGAGTTATTTTTTTAAAAATATTTTAATATAATATCTTTGATTCTCATTAGTTACCGCTAGTCAATATTAATTTTTCAAGTTAACTTTGAATGCCAATAAGGCACTGCCATTCTATATTAATTGATAAATAAAAAAATGAACGCCAACTTAAACTTAAACGGAAAGTTAGTTTTTCTAGTAAAAAATAAAAGATAGATAGGTATAAATAAAAATATATTGCCTCGTCTGTCCCTTTAGTTTTATGCATTTTATTTTGTTTATTTTGGAGTTTTACTATGGTGGCTATGTAGATATAAGTATCAATTTATAAATAAATCATGTACATACAATTGATCCATCTTAATTTTTTTTAAATAGTTAAACTAAATAGTTTTTTAAAAAATGGGATGGATGATATTAATTTAAAATTAAATCTAAAAACAAAGTTGATCAAAATAAAAAACGGGAGCAGGCACTTTTGAGACTTGATTGAGATCTATTTTTATATAATTTTATAGTAATTAAAATATATATTCATAAAAGTTCCAATTATATTTATTCTCGAGTAAAAAGATATTTTTCTGTTCAAATTTTGTTTTTGTATTCATACATTTTTTTTCTTTTTAGATTTCTTTCAAATATGGTTATTAAGATAATATTGGAAAAATTGTATGTTTATGCCATAACATTTAAATAAAATAATAGTTTTTACAGTAATATTAGTAATGGTTTTATTAATAACTATATATGAATCTAATATGCAAAAAATTCAAAAACATTTTGCTAAGAAGCATGCCGCGAAAATAAAATATTTATTTTTTTATCTTTAATTTTTTATATAATTTTTCACATTTATCATTCTCTTATTCTTTTTTATATAGTTAGGTAAAAAATATTGACATGATTTTTTTATTTTGTTTTAAACATGGACTACTTGTTATGTTATCCACTGATTTTTTTATATAAAAAAAATAATCAAGATCTATGTTTTTAGACACCAAAAATTCAATTCTCAACATTGTTTCACCTATGGTAAAAACTTCAAGGTAAGCATGGAGTTGATAAGCCCTCTCAGCTCAATACTATTGAAATATATCTCCAAGGCCGCAACACAGTGGCTGGTCATGGATATCATCATCCTACAACAACAATACAATCTTCAAAGGACTAAAAACCAATATGATCCGGATTAGTAAACACAACCAAAACTAGGGCTATAATTCCATATTTCTTGAAATTCAAGACTTGATCTCAACACAATTTGAGGAGAGATCACTGAAAAATGGGCCACTTCCAGACAACTGCAACTTATCATAAACTGTCAGCAAGCTCACTACTATTCACCTTTTGACTTCTTTTTTTTCTTTTTCATGCCACTAGCATCTTGCAGCTCCTCGTCTTTACTCTTCTTCTTTTTCTGCTTCTTGGCAGTACCATCCTGCTCATCGGCATCAACCCTGTCAGTACCATTTGACTTCTCGACAGCCTGCTCCTGATCCAATTTTCTCTTCTCCTTTTTCCTTTTCTTCTCTGATTTGGCATCCCCTGCAGCACCTCCATTTACCGTTGGTTTGTCCTCAGCCTCACCATTCTCTGCAGTGTCAGATTTTGATTTCTTTTTCTTGCTTTTCTTTGCTGAAGCAACAGCAGGTGCCTCTTCAACTTCCATAGCAGTATCTAGAGAATCCAAGACAACCAATTAAAAAAACAAATTAAAACGTTGGCATCTAGAACTGAAACTGTAAAAGCAAAACCAGCAAGAACATAATGAGTTAAACCAGCCGCTTTAAGAAAATCATCATGCAGGAAGACACAAGGGTTGCTCATCAAATAATGTTAGCACGTTAACAAAGCAACTGAAGATGCCAAAATATAACTTCCAACAGAAACTAAAAAATATTGAATGTGTAAAAAAGTTAAGAAACAACATCGATTTCACTCGGGTGCACACCTTTATTTTCAGCACTTCCAATTGCAGCTTTCATCACATCAATGTTTTTACGCGGTGCAACACCCTTGTCATAGAAATCCAATCTCTCTTCAACTTGTTCTCTTAGTTTCTCCCCAAAAACAGTTGTACCACTCTCTGCAACACAACAGGATGCAAAAATAAGTTAATTATAGAGTTGAGTGTTGGAAATAATTAAACAATTTATCAAGAAGTTTGAAATTTACCAGAAAAACAATCAATGCGAGATGCTATAGAACATTTATTTGCAAGATAGCGAGCCATGCGTCCCTTGTTGCGAGCAGATGCTCGACCAATAAAAGATGAATGGAAAATCAAACCATATTTTGGTGTGTTTCCTCGGGTTTTCAGTGCCCTAAAGAACAAAACAAAAAGGTTAACGTTTGGAACTCATGATATATATATCGAAGAATCTATCAGGGGAAGAACTTTAACAAAACAGGTAGAATAAAGATCTTCTAGAAGAGATACTCAATAAGACAAGAGTACCGGAGGGAGACAGTCTATAAATTGTATTTGGAATTCTGCAGGGCAGTAAAAAAAGACGTGTTCTCAGAATTATAGGATGCAGTGATGGAAAAACACCTGAATAGTGCCTTTTCTGCACCAAGGATCTGAAGGGTGGAAGAAGGGCACTTGGCCAGATTTGTGAGACTACCAGCATGAGAAATCAGACGAGCACCAACAATTTCACCAATCAAAGAAGCCAAATTAGGTGCAATATCATTCATTTTAGTAACTAGATACTCATGGAGCTTCTTCCTGTACTCAGAGAGGTCCATCACCCTCTGAGCAAATTGCTGGACATTAATCAAGTCAATGGGAGACAAATCTTGACCTGCAAAAGGGAAAGAAAAAATTGAGCGGTAAAGAAAGACAAGATTAGAATTTGGTCAACATAAGAAATACAAATAGAAATTCTACCCATTGATGCTTTGGCAGCTTCTACAACCTCCTTTGCTTTATCTTCATCTCCAAGTATGTCGGTTAGTTCTGGGAGTTTGTCTTCAGACAACTTGGACTTGTCATCAATGAACTTTGCAAGTTTGGCATAGATATAGTTGTCATTAACAATCTTCACTAATTCAGGGAAATGCCAAGAATACCATTCTCTGCGGTAAGTTAAAGTATTAAAGGAGCTGCAGCTAGGTAGATGCAAATTCCAAGTAATGCAGGCAACACGTTAGTGTAAAAATCAATCACAAACCTGACTCTCATTGCGAATGAATTGACATCCTTATCAAGAGTATCAAGAAGGAAGATTGCTTGAATAACCATATTGTCAACTCGGTTGACATTGAACTTCACTTTTGCTCTGCTGTAACTGTGTCCCAGACCAAGTTGGGCTTTCTCCAAGTCACCAGGCTGTAGAAAGGGATTGGAGAGGGAGAGAATAAATTTGCGAGAAACACATCTCATGGAAACAAATAAAAGGAAAACTTGAAAAGAAGAAAAGGAAAGCATGCGTCAGAAAAAATGCAAACCTTTAAATCCTTGATGAACCTTTCAAAATGTAACCTTACACCACGAAGAAGCTCATTTACGAACTCATTACTTTGGCAAGGAATTTTAGTCACCTCAAAGATATGTGACCCAATCTTGGGCTCAGCAACTCCCAGACTAAACTTTGCCTTCTTTCCCTCCTTCACTTTTGGAAGGTTAAGCTCCAAAAAGTTCCTCAGATCATCAGTCATGATCCCTGCATACAAAAACCAATAACAAACCAGGCATGAACTAACAACAAACATTTAGAGAGAGAACCAGAAAGCGCTAATCCCATCTCTAATACCTGCCGCTTTATATCTTGGATAACATAAAACGAGCAATTCATCCAACACAACAGCAGCAAAGTTAATTACTCTTACTAATGACCACCGAATAGGTCATTTTCTACGACAAGCATTGATTTCTTTCTTTAACAGAGTCTCGCCAACCCCCCCCAACCAACCAAGACAGACGGGACCTTCGCAGATGTTTAGCACACTATAAAGCCATAAAGAACTAAAAGGCAACCTTTTTAAAAAAAGCAAAGCAAGCACAACTAGCAGAAAGCATCTCTGTTCCTCAGCTCATAAAGCGTTAATTGACCACTAAAGCAACCGGACAAACAGCTGACAAAAGAATAATAAAGCCCATCAAAAAGCAGGGGCATGCATGACCAAGTTAATTACTACACTTCAAATAAATCAAAGGCATTAAACCTTTCTCATTGTTTTCAAGTTATTTTTAAACAACAAAACCCGTCAACGAAAAATCAGACAAACTGCAAATACTAATCACTGCAAGAAACCAATTGACACAGACAAAAAATTATGAACAAAGGGGTCTTTGGAAGAAAAAAAAAACTATACCTTCAGAAACAGAGTTACACTGATTGAGAGCATCTAAAGCAGACTCGAACGGGTGAAAAGCAGTGAGCTGCACTACCTTACCAAACCGGTTAAGATCCGAAACCGAGTTCCTAACAGCCTCGGTGTTTTGTCCAATTTCATCAAGACCATTAGCGAGGAAAAGACTGTATCCCGATGATGTCTCGTACAACAAAAACAAAGCCATTGTGGAGAGTAATGTGTGGTCGAGGTGGGGATGGCTTTGTGGCTAGTGCAGGGTTTTATATGTTTTAGGGTTTATGGCGAGGCATAGCTTAGCTGGATACATACAGGTGTTAGAGAGGAAAGGAGAAGAGTAGGAGAGGGAGAGGTTTTATAAAGGCGAATTAGGGTTGATGGTGGTGATGGGTCGGGCCTGATGAAAACGAGGTTACCTTAGGCGGTGTGGATTTTTGGCAGGATATTATTTGTTTTTAAATTTTTTATATTTTTTACAAATGGAAACAAATTAAAAATATAAATTTCTTTATGATGTCATTTTTTATAATTTCAAAAGTGACAAGATATGTTTTGAAAATGGTTGTTATTGTCAAAAAATAAATTTTAATAGAACAAAGATTTTTAAATCCAAAGTTTTGTCAATAATGACAATCTAATTAATAAAAAAAATGCAATTTTAAATATCAAAGCTAAATTGAAATGGTAGTAGCACCTTTTTTTTTAATTTATTCCTTCAAATTTTTTTTAATTATATCTTTTTATACCCAATTTAAAGCTTATTTTGTCAAAAAATTGATAAAGAAAAAAATAAATAAGAAGAGACCAGAGTGTAAAATAATAAAAACAAAAAACCTCATGGCTAGTGTAAAACTGGGGGAAAGCTTATTTTTGTCCTTAAATTTGTCTTTTCCTGTCTTCACAGTTCCTGTAATTTTATAAATTCAAATTTGGTTTCAAAATTTCATTTTTTTTTCCATTTCAAGCATTAAAAATAAAAGATAAGAGATAGTTGGTGGTTTACAATGAAATAAAAAAAAATCATTGTTTGGCCAAATTCGAGTAATTAAAAAAATTAATGTTGATATCAATAAATTTTATTTAATAATGAAAGTTTTATAAAAATTATTTTGAACCTTAAAGTTTGAAAAAATAAATAGAGTTAAAGAAAAAAACCAATTTAATTTTATATTTTTAAATTATTTTGATTAGCAATTTGGTTTGTTAATATTATAATAATATTTATTATGTATTTTCAAGTAAAAAGATATTGAAATATATATTTTTATTCTAAAAAAGTCATAGCCCTAATTTTTTTTATTATTATAGTGGTGGTTGAAATTTATACAATTAAAAATACATTATTTATTTTTTTCTAACAAAATTTGTCCATTAAAAAAAAACATGAGCTTTTTTAAAAGGTCTATACATGTTTGGCTATCTAGACTCGGTTTGAATACTTGATCTGGTTTTTTTTTATATATAGTATAATTAAATAAAACACATATTTTTTTGAAATAAATAATCTGTGTTTTCTTTCCACCATTTCTTCATAACTATATACAAAAATACAAATTCCACGTTGAAACATTTAGTTCGAAAAAAAGTGTCCTTGAATTTTAACAACCGTCACGTATTTTTAATGATAAATATTAAATATATTATCTCACCTCAAAATAATTATACATATAAAAAATAAAAATACTTCTATTTCTAATAAAGAATTTTTCATTCATGTCTAAATACAAAATATATGTAATAATAATATGTAACAACTCCATATATTCTCAAATAAAAAAAGACTAAAACATTAGTATAATTCCTAAGAAATAGGTTAATCCATTTTTATATGGATAAAATATATTTGTTGTCCTTCAAGTTTTAAAAATTATTTATATTTGCTTTTTTTAGTTGAATTTTGAGCATACGAGGCCTTGTATTTTAGTTATCGGTCATATATGCCCAGCTCTGGTCATGGCTAGTTTGAATTTGAATTTGTATTCTTTAAATAAAATTTTTATATCTTGAATAATAATATTTTTACTGTATATCCTATCCTTTATGCTTGTTCACACACTATATTTTTCAAAAACTATGAATATTTTTTAGAATTATTATTTTTTGTTTTTGTAATTATTTTAATGTAATAATATAAATTATAATTTTTTTAATGTAATAATATAAATAATATTTTTTTTAAAAAATTAAAATATATTTTTAAAAATAACCTCAAGCAAATGATTCCAAGCTGGCTCGACAAACTCTTTTAACAATAATAGAGACTCACTCTTTCAACAATAATAAAATATTTATTGTTGCTAAGTAAACAAGAATTTCAAGAGATAGGTTAAACAGCAGGCAGGGCGCGCACCCGACCGAACGAAAGAATACGCAACAAAAGTAAAAGAAAACCTTCATTGATCTTCTATTCATCAATACATTAATTGATAATGGAAAATACACTTCTCCTTGTAATTTTCTCCCTAGTTACTTCTCTATTAACCTTTATCTTAACAATCACGTCCCGCGAGATAATCAATGGCAGAAGGACCCGACAGAGGGCTGTGGGTTTCTTCCATCCATACACCAACGATGGTGGCGGTGGAGAAAGAGGGTTATGGTGTGCTGTGAAAGCAATTCAAGAAGAAAGTCCTGATCTTGACTGTGTTATTTACACGGGAGACCATGATTCCTCTTCAGAAAGCTTGATGTCTCGTGCCCTTGATCGATTTGGTGTCCAACTACTTACCCCTCCAAAGGTACCATCATCAAGTCTCTCAGGACCCATTATTCACTAGATGAAAACTTAATGTGGGTTGATTTTAATTTTTTCAATTTCTGTCTGTTTGATGTTACCCGTTGTTTATAAGATGATAACTTAACGTGGGCTGGTTTTAATTTTTGCTATTTTGTGTCATGGGATGCTGTAGGTGGTGCATTTGTATAAAAGGAAGTGGATTGAAGAAACTAGTTATCCTCGGTTTACTATGATTGGTCAAAGCTTTGGATCAGTTTACTTAGGTTGGGAGGCTTTGTGCAAGTTTACTCCTTTGTATTATTTTGATACTAGCGGATATGCTTTCACATACCCAGTTGCTCGATTGTTTGGTTGCAAAGTTATTTGTTACACACATTACCCTACGATCAGTTTGGATATGATTTCTCGTGTTCGTGATCGGAGCTCCATGTACAATAACGATGCTTCAATTGCCAGGAGGTGAGATTCTTTTGCAAATTAAAATTTTGATTGATTTATTTGTATGCCTGTTTAGATAATTCTTCCAAGGTTAGTTTAAAGCACTGTTTATATTTTTGGTGTAAGTGAGAGGCAGAGATTTGCTAACATTCTGCATTTCTATTTTCAATATCTTCATTGCTCGATCAAGGAATGCAAGTACATGGACGTTTAGTAGAAACCACTTTTGGGTATGATTTGATGTCAAATAATGATCTTATGGCTATGTATGGAATAAGTGCAAGAGAGGATGTTTCTAGTGACATGTTTTCTGAAGTGCTTGTTAGAAATATTGTTTCAGTGACAGGGAGGCAGAAAGACTTTTTCAGTGAAATGCCCATGCCAAGTGTGAATTCACGAACCCTTATGATCACTGGCTGTGGAAAGCATGGTCTAAGTAATGAGGCAATTCATCTCTTTGACAAATTGCTTTAGATAGCACCAAGCTTGCTGTTTACTTGGTTGTGTTTTTAGCATGTAGCCTTTCAGGATTAGTTGAAAAAGTCAAGAATACTTTTCAAGGTTATTTTGTGACCATAGGATCAATGTAAGACTAGAGCATTATGGATGCATGGTGGCCAAGCCGGGTGCTTAAATAAGAATCTCATTGAATCACACTTTGAAGCCGAATACAGGGATATGGAAGACATTGCTAAGCACTTGTAGAGTACATGGGGACTTGGAATTAGGGAGAGAATTAGGTGATATTTTTTTTTAGATTAGACAGTGATAGTCTTGTGAACCATGTGATGAGTCCAATTTTTATTAATGGAATGAATGTGAGAGAATAAGGGAATCGGTGTGGAGTAAGAGGTTAATGAAAGAGACAGGATGCAGAGATTGGCAACGAGGTCTGCCTTTTGTGACTTAGATTTGTGCAAATTAAATAGTGATCTGTGTTTGGATATTGCTTTGAGATCTGTCAAAATTTAGCTTTGGTTTGATGGCTTAGGGTGTAGACTGAACCACTATTTATCCACATTTATTGTTAAATGCTTGTTTAAAAGGCTTCCCCTGTACCTCCAAGTTAATTTTATCTCATCCAATATTTGTCTATTCTTGATTGATGCTTGCTGGAAGTTACACTGTGTGTGTTTGGGAAGAAAAGGAAACTAATTTTGGGAAAACTTACGTGTTTATTTAACTTAATGATCTTATGAAAAAAAAAACTCTTCAGTTAGATGTGGCTGCCACCAGTGGAAGCTCTTGTGTATAATGATTTTGTTTGAAGCTTAACAATGCAGAAGACAAGACCCACCTTCTTTGTATAGCTGCTGTTTTGATCTGGTAATTGTAGAATCATACTCACAATGTTGTTTCCAATGATATTCAACCAAATCCTCAATTGGCTGTCTATCTGGCACGAATTCATGTGCTGGAATACAAGCTTGTTGCAGAATCTTCTCCTAGCACTGGCTGTTCTGTCCCAAAGTATCATATAATATTTTAGCTATGAGGATTCTAGTTGGATTCCTCGAGCATATGGCAAGTTGAAGTGCAAAGTGGGTGCATCCTAGAATAGTTGTACAAAGTTTGGTGGTTTAGGTATTATCTTTTGAGATTTTGAAGATCACTTTCTTGCAAAAAAAATAAATAATAATCTGACCACTTATATGCTGCTTGTGAAAGTCTTGGAAGCTATGGTCATCAAGGAAGCTTCAAGTGGTTCAAGGTGTTACAGTTAGCTGAATTTGTGATAGAAACAGATTGTTAGGAGCGAATTTAGACGTTCTCAAGGGAGAACCTCTGGCTTTGGATATTGAGGTTATTTTGCATGGTGATTTACAGTTTCCGAGGAAGTTCAAGGAGCTTTCTTTCAATATATTCACAGAACTTGTAACAAGGATGCTAGCTTTTATGAAGTTTGCTTGTTTTTTGTCCAGGGAAGCTAGCTTTTGAGCATTTGATTACATTTCTGATTCTAGCTCTTTATGTATTCACAATGTTCTGTTGGAGGACATGACTGCACTCTTGTATCTTCTGGAAGCTTTTTTTCCTCAATGAATCTGTTAGCTGAATTCCCAGAGTAGGAAAAAAGGCAAATAAGGAAAGCTTTTCTCACAAAAAATATTTTTTATTGAAACAAAATAGAAAACTTATTGGCTCTATTGTTCTTTCAGATTTATGTCCATGCAACTTCATATGCATGTGTCCTTATTTTTATAAAGTCAAACA